TCTCTCTATCTAAGGTATATGTTTGCTTATAGCACACCATTTGCAATACAACCACTTTATATTTGCTTGTAGAATCATATATGTACCAAAATAAACATTTGCTTGTAGTGAAAACTTGGTCTATCAAATAAATCCATCAAAATCACATACTATAACCAAGTTTCCTAATCACAAGTCTACAAGCAGATAAAAATTCATACACAAGCCATACAATCCACACATATTCACACACATATATACAATCACATTCTATTGGTACCCTAATACTAAATACATTACAATAGATTTGCTCAAAAGAAAGGGGTTTCAGTTCTTTACAATCCACAAACAACCCCTCGCCCTGCTTCTTTCCTTGTCTATAACTGGTTCCTTCACCAAGACCTGAAAATATTGAAAAGAAAGGGGTGAGACAACCACAGTCTCAGTAACAGAGAAATCTACATTGATTATTACAAAGTAAGCCATAATCGAATAAACAAATAATAGATTCAACATAGTATATAATTTAGCCATTTCAAATGCATGAATACATGACATAGGCCAGTATGGCCTTTCCTGACCAATAGAATGCCCCTGACACTCTTTAACTCGCAAGTAAATCTTATACCCACTTGTATCTCTACAGGCACAAATCATAATCTAAGGCATGATCAAATCCACTTAATCGCCTGTGCGCCTTCAACGTGAATCTTGAGCAGCCGAAGCTAACTCTTTCCTAGAGCTAGCCCGACTTACTCTCCATGTGAGGGATACCTTAGCCTAGGCACTCAACCTCACACTTCATATGTTGGATTCCCTCCCTCACTGAGAAGTATCGAACACTCAATCCACTAACTACTTTAGTGCACTATGAAAGGCAACACTGAGTATTGGTAGTGTGCCATAAAATATCACAAGTCCACACCTTTCTATTGATGAACTCCCACTAACATCATGCCTTTCACTCTTGTCTACCTTTCCTAAGTATTGACCACTTCAACACTCTAAAGTAGTATGACAAATATCACTCCTCTCTTAAGCAGTTCCTTAGCCTCTCTAAGGTACCTAATCCAATTATACTTTTTTAAGTACAACTTTCATTCTCTACAATTACAATGCATGCAGACAATCTTGTTTTTATAAAAACATTATTGTTAGACGAATAAAAAACATATATGCACTATTATCCAAGTAATACCCCATAAATCTTTATAAAACACAATTAATTGCATTTAATCACTTAAAACATGTAATACATGATAGCTAGTAATATTTATTCAAAAATAGCTAAACAGAGCAATAAAAAATATAAATTTTTCTGTTACCCTAACCCTTTAGTACCAAAAGGGTTCTCCTCATATAAAATAAAACTCAGCTTGTTCCTTAACTTTTGGCCAAAAAAAAAAGCTTGTTCCTTAACTTCTCAATAAGTTTCACTAACAATTCCCTGCAACACATAAGTGATCCATATCACTTGTCATGGCAAATAACATAAAAGAAGACTATAACTCATACCACACAACTTGGGTCAATGAGCCATAATTCATCCCAATGGTTCATGTATTAAACCAATTATTCTCATAATACCACTTAACCACCAAAATCATCTATTAGCCACCATTAGGCCAATTTTCAAACCATACAATTTTTAATCAACCAAAAACTTTCACTCAGCATTACCAACTTTCACCATTAGCCCTTATAATAAAAACCTAAGCTTAATTTAAATCTTATTGAATTCAAATAGCACAATTATAAATAAACCAATAGGCTTAAACCATTAAGGAGCAAAACCCAACTTCTTGGTATTTGACTTTTTCTCTAAAACTTTATTTTTCATCCAATTGCCCGCTCAAAATATTAGAACACCATATAAAAACTCAAAACAACCTCCCAAGGACCCAAAAAAACTAAAGCTTATAAGAATAAAGTCTTTGGGATCAAAATTCAGAAATTTTCTCTTCAAAAAATTGAAGAAAATCAAAAGGGAAGGAAGAGGATTGAAGTAAGGAGTTTACTTACTGCGTAGCAGAGCTCGCAACGGTTGCAAAGCCTCTCAAATCCAAACCTCACTCCCTTCCTCCTCTCTTCTTCCTCTCTTCCGTCTCACATTTCCTTCCTTTGTTTTCTTGTTTTAGTTTTGATTCTACGTGAGTATCCCTTTTAAAACTGATCTTAAAATATTTTGGGAAAAATTACAAAAAAAAAGCCCAATATTTTTTATTATAACACAAAAGCTTGGGTCAACTTTGGTAATTTTTCTCATAGTTAAAACTAAAATAAAATCAAACTTTTACTCAGAAAAATTTAAACTTTGAACTTCTATCAAATTATTCTTAAGTTTAATATAATTATAGATATTTTTAAAATAAATCCGAGTCTTAAAAACTTCGAGATGTTACAGTAGGGATGTGTAGAGGGGAGTGAAAGGAGAAGAATGGAAGTAATTTGGTGAGGATCCAATGGCTGAGTGAAGAGAAATGGAGGAGAGAGAGAGGTGGCTATGGATTAAAGTTGATAGAAAATTGAAGGACAATGAAGAACAAGAGAGAGAATGTAAATGAAAAATGAAGAAGGTAGACGATATGCGTGTAAAGTGACAGCTAGCTTTAATATTTTAGGTGAAAAATGGCTGAGTAGGGCATGAATTCTAGTTACCAAAATGGGAGAAAAATAAAACAAGAAGGAAAAGAAAAAGCTAGGGTAAGGTACACACTTCCTACATGCTTAAATATGTGACATTCTCTCATTGGTTCAAAAGAAAATATCCTAACTGAGAATATTCTCACTTATTTTATCAAATAATCAAATTATTATCTCCCATTTCAGCCCCAAAATTGATGCCACCTTGCCTATTTTAGCTCTTTTTCATGATTCTTGACTAATTGCAAAAAATCTAAACTTACATGTGCCACCTAAATTATAAAATGAATATAAAATCAAAGTCAAATATACATGTGACCTAATAATTAAATTCTTACACAAAGAATTAATTAACTACAATGAGAGAATAATAATGAAGTAAAATCCGAAGGTAGTGACATGTGAAAGCTCATACATGCCCATGCAAACACATAAAACCCTAATTCAGTTAACAAAATCAATAACCCTAAAATGTGATTTTTATTTTATAACTCTTAAACCAAATTGAATTATAAAAAACTAATTTTATATTCATTGTTTTGGGAATAAAACACAAGGAACACAATATTAACTCAATTTTTCATAAAAAGTATAATTTTGAACCAAAATACCATAGTACACAATTTTGCTCCTTAGATAATTTTTTTGCTTTTGACACCATGAATGCACCAAAGTGAAGAATAAAATATGTAAAATGGATCTTAAATGAATGAGTAAAGTGTGTAAAATATGAGTCATATCAAACGACAAAATACAGTTTCTTAGATAAATTGATAGCTAAAAATTATATTTAAATTCCGTACCGATTACCTTTTAAAAAAAAAAACAAAAGAAAAGAAGTAACAATGTGATCTCAATCTAAATCATTCGTGCTCATGTTGAACATTGTTTGTGGCTTTTTGCTTCAGGCATGTCTAAGAAATTGATCCCCAAACAATATGATAAACTCGCCTGTTCAATCAGACAACGAGTTTCGAGGTCCTTTGCCACGATTCTCCCTGGTTCAAATGTTCAAAAACCAAAAAATAAAAAATAACAAAGAAATAGAGATGAAGATAAATTAAAGATCTATATATGATGACAATAGACATGATAATACTGACTTATGTATTCAACCTAAAAAAGAAAAATACTGCTAATGTTAATAAGGAAATTACAACAAAACTAAAGTGGGAATCAGAAGAAACCATGTAAATATGTTGGTCGGTTATTGATGTTGATGCCTTGTCTTCTCTTTTATAGGCAAAAATGTTAATTTTTTCCCTTGACTTTTGGATTGGCATTTAAAAATATTTTGTCAATGTCTAAAAGTTCAATGTAAAAATTTATTAAAATACAACTAACAATGTTAGAATCAAGAACTAAAAAAATATTTTATAAATTTAAAAGATTAAAATAAAATGTTGTGTAAAATTAAAAGATTAAATATATACTTTAACCTCATATTTATCAAAATAAAAATTATAAAAAATGTAATATTAAATTTAGACGGCCAAATATATCTAGTTGGTAATTTGTAAAAATTTAAAAAAAACTAATATTAAATTAAACTTTCTGGATTATACTATATAAAATACATTTGAATTGTTAATTTTTAAAATTTATTAAAAAATAATATTAAATTAGGTTATCCAAATTAAATTTATACTGATCATAGTGATAAACAGTTTTATTAAAAATTTCTATATTTTTTACACATTTTTATTTAAATAAATATAAAATAAAAATAAGAAGCTTAAATTTGAACTGTTTAGATCTCATAAAAAAATATTGCTACCATGACATTCCTCCTCTAATAAGCTTAAAAACAATCCAGATTTAATATTCAATTTCTTTTTATAATTTTTATATATTTTTATTTTGATAAATATAATATTAAAATTATTCTAAAAAAACAGAAATCATTTAAAAGAAAAATAAATGGCCCAGATCACCTTGTAGGTGGTGAGCACGCCGTGCTCATCATTACTGGGGAGCACGGTATGAACATTCATCAACTTCATGTACTTGCAATTTGAAAGCCACTGACGCCACTAACTGCAATTTTTTTGGCCCCCTAAACTTCCTCCACTTTTGCCATTTGCTCCAAATAATTCATTTACCACTTGTACAGAGAATAATCTCTCTTCCCTCTAGAAACTTGATTTGGGTTTGAGTCAAAATAAAATTAAATTTTAGCTCAAACAAATGTAAAATCTATTTTTAATTTTAGACAAATTCTAGTACACACAAGTTAAATGTTCATGTCACAAGTTTTTATTTTTAAAATACCAATCACTTTTTGTAAGTCATACTCCCGGTAACACAGTATCAATTTTTTCACCATATGAAAGACTTGCACTCAGCAATTTATTTAGGGGAAATCAACATCAAACCACTTTAACCAACATATTTTTGATTGAACGAAGGATAGGATGTTTTTGAAAGATTCCCTACAATGTCTGGTCACATAACAATCGGTGAAGGGTCTTTGATCTTGTTGATTATAAATACAAGTACATCTCAATAATGAGGTTGGCTACATGAATTTTATGATGACATTATATTCTGTCATTTTGATTATTAGACTTCCAAGCAAAAATACAGTTGAGATGACACACAATCAGCCACGAACATCTTCATAAACTTCATTCAAGCGTAAATGTCAACCTAGGTTCATTCAGAATCATATAAGCTGCTTGTTTCATTCAACACTGCTCTAAAGAAAATTTATAGTTCATTACACATTTACAAAGGTTCACCTGCACAGGGTAGTCGCCAAAACAAGTTTTGTCATGATTTGATTAACATAGTAACATTTTAATTACACAAAACAATTACAAAATCCATAACCATAATCCAAATCTATAAATCTATAACCTCTAAATCTATAAATAATATAAAAGCTCCAAAAAGTAGCACCATTCATGTGTTAGAACTTAGATATAGTCTGCGTGGCTGACTTATTTTTAAACTCCAATCTCTATATAATGCAAAATTAGACAATCAAATGAGCTATAGAATTTTCACTGAGTGAGATTGGATAACATTTCCCAGACAATGACTGTGAACATAAACCTAGTAACCTGAACAAGGTTCTTATAATTGGCATCAAAGTAGTGATTGCTGATTACAGTATGATTCCACTAATGTTTCATTCTGAGCCTACAGAACAGAATACATCCACAAGGAGTAGGAGACATCAATGGTTGATTGGAACAAAAACTTCCTTCAAAGGCAGCATCTCTCTCTCTCTCTCTCTCTGGATTTTTGAGCTTGTACGTACCATCGAAAAGAAAATAAAAACATTCAAACCTGCATTTGAAGCAAATATTTTTCACTAAAATGGGTTTCTGTTTTGACAGTACAATCTCAAAAATCCATTGGTCTCCTCTGTCAAGAGAGGCTTCTCCATGATTCGAGAGCAGCACAATGACACAATACTCCGGTTACAATCACAATATATATATACACACATATCATTACAAACTCATCTCATATGTCACTGATTTTACCAAACTATGTGAATGTTTTGCTCTCGTTTTTCGTAGTACAAAGCTCAAAACTCAATCTGTCTCCTATAAAACCTTCCTTATGAATATTAATAATAAATACCTCCGATTTAAGAAATTTGGCCATAGTTAATTATAGCACAACACAATAATTATTCTTCACAGAATATCAGTAACACATCCAATAACCTTGTATGTAGTGTCAGAAAAACCACTAATGATATTTCTAACAAACTTTCAAGACCTTGCAAACTCAAGCAACAATGACTTGCTACGGTTATAATCACAACACAGATAGGATGTGATACATATATATATATATATATATATATTATATGCCCACCAATTCTTGAGAGTAATATATCAAAGACATAGCAGAAAGCTTACCGGACTGCCAGAGAAGGTAACTGCAGAGTATTCCAGATACCAATGGCATTGTTGTGCCCCGAAGCAAGAAATTTCAGGAAAATCGAAGGGTCAGGACACCAACAATGTCATTGGGACCAAGAAGACTCCAGTTTTAGATCCAAGCCGATGGAGGTAGCGCCACCGGCGATGGCTAAATTGAACAATAGAAGCGATGAGAGATTACGGAGAGAGGGGGCGTGCCGGCGTGACACTGAGTGCGAGTCTGCGCGAGATCTGTGGAGAACTGAAGATTAGGTTTACCACTTATAAACCCGGTAAACGTCCAAGGCTCGGCTCAGCTCGGCTCGGCTTTTTGACAGCCGCGAACATTTTCTTTTCTTTTCTTTTCTTTTCTCTGGCCAAAGAAAAGGATACAGTTAAATTGAATTAATCATTAGATTTGTAATAAAAATTTTCAAAAAAATAATTTATAAATATCATTTTATAAAATTATAAATAAAATTTTCAGTTATAATTTAAGTATTACATTTAAAGTTTGAAGATCTATAATCGATATTTGAATTTATCTTTTAAAATTTTTTAATATTGATTCTATATTTTTGGACTTAATAACTGTAATTCTTTCCCCCCAATTATTTTACTAATTGTGTGGAACATATGCGTACTATCAATGGAAAAAATATGGCTAAGTTGGGCTCAAATCTATCTGAATGCATTAATAAGGCCCAAATGTTATTATCATTTTATAATAGATAATTTTAAAATAATATATATTAATATTCTTTCCATTTTATCTTAATTAAAAATATTTTCGCTCTATCTTTAAAACCAAGATCTTGAAATCAAAATTGACTTAACAAATAACATAGGTCTCCCTTCTATTTTTAAAATTATATTTCCCTATATCACATCATTAATTGAATGTTAAATTATAATTTTAAAATAAAAAAACCACTATTTAATTATCATATGATTAAAATTTTGTATAATTTTTTAAAAATTTTGAAATAGCTAAAAATGTTCTATGTATTGTGGACATGAGAGAGTATATATATTAATATATATATTTCAATATAAACAAATATGAATTACTATGAACATAATTTGTAACATTCTAAAATTAAAAATAGGATTAATTAGGTTAATTGAAGGTAAATTAGTCAATTGAGGTTTAAATCTGGTTAAAATGGCATTTGAATAACTATGGGGATTAGTAGACCCTATATCAAGCTTAAAATTAGACTTTAAGTGCTATTGGGCCACATTAAGCCCGATATAGTATACCAGAATTAGGGTTTTTACTTTTGTGTCATCCTTTGCAGCAAATGGAACATGTGCTATGACGGATTGGTCAAAATTTAAATTTTAGAGTCACATGTTAAATAGAAAGATAGAGAGTTTGAGAGGACATCAGAAAGCTATGCAGGGGTTTATCATTGGCAACAATTGGAAGCTATTTTGAGCTTTTAAATCATTAGGTAAGCTCTAATCACCTCCCTCCTTCCTTGTATGCATTTTTTCTCTACTGCTGTTGTATTATTCATTATGGATTATGATTCTACCTACTAATCTAACTTCATTAGAGGCAATGGGTGTTATTTTAAGGGCCTAACCATTGGCTTAGGCTAATAAAGATGGTTAATAGTGTTATAGATGGGTTTAGAATTAACCCTAGAGTTATGTAACAAAGTTAATAATCATGGGCTAGTCTAATAATGTTATTTAGACTAATGAGAGGTTAATTGATCTAATGAAACCAAGAAATGGGTATGGTTATAGTTAATGACCACTATGGGAGTCTTGGGGTTAAACTTTGTAATCTCTTACTATCAATTTTCCTACTATTAATCAAGGATCCATAGTTATTAACCATGACCAAGATGTAGCATCCTAGATTTCAAATTTTGAAATTTTAAGTGTTTTAAAAGGGTAAGAATTGGTAAAATTAAGCGAATAATAAGTTCATGATGTTTTTGGATGACAAATATGATTTTTGGACCTTTGGACAACTTGGACAATGAGCTAAGATGGCATACAAGTCAACGGGGCTCAAGCGGGTAGCCATTTTAGCATATGGCATTTGTTGTGTCATGTGCTGCGGTGCACGCACCTTGTGCTGCAGAGCATAGCCAGTTTCTAAGTTAAATCAGATGCAAGATTGCATCTGATTTCAAAAGGATATAAGAAAGAAAAAGTGAGAAGCGACGGAGGAAGAGCTTATAGGTGCTAGGTGAAATGTCTACCTTGACATTACTCGGACAATACTAAAATACACTGTTGTGATAACCAAGATTGATTAAAATCCCTAAGAAGAGTCATCACAACCTAAGGGTTTAAAAGTAAATAGTTTAAAATATTAGGATCCCAAGAAAACTCTTTTCAAAAGTCATTTGAGTTCAAACTATAGTTTAAAACAAATTATAAGAGATAATGGAAGCATAGAAATTTAAAAAAGCACTTAAAAACAATCAAAATCATCTAGAGATTTTCCAATAATTGACCCGTTCATCGTGGCCAATGCCTTAGCTGCCATGGCGAATGGCACAAAGAGCTAGGGCTCTTGTTGGTACTTGCACTGCAGCGTGCACCTGTTGTCATGATAGCAAACTACTGTTATGATAGCACTCTAGACCAACTTTCAAAGAGCGTCGTTTCACCATTCGATATCCAATTTGAGCAGTTCAAGTATCCACACGAAACTCTTTGAGCCCCCTAACTAATGGCACCAGTCTCACAACCAAATAATCAATCATTAAAAAGTTAGAAATTCGAACCTAGAATGGTTCATTTTCAAACCATAACACACTCAAGGGTGTCCAAACCTCACGACCTAGTACCAAAAGCCTTGGAAACACTTGAACCAACTCAAATAAACCACACATAACTCAATAGGCCAACTAGAACACATAAATAACATTTCATACACAAAATGACTACCAGACTTCCATTTCCACAATGAATTTAAAGGGAATAATTTAATTCTCAATATCATACAAGGGTCATTTTCATACATACAACATTACCATAACATTACGTGTATTAGTATCTTGGCCTTTCACAATTAGTTAACCACAAGTACATCAATTAGGCTAACATATGCACACATTCCACAAATTTTCATACAAGTGATTCAAAACATGCATGAAATCCTAAGTTGGCATAAGTTTTACGACATATTCATTACAAAACCAAAACATGAAAGGAAAGAGCTATACAAACAAAGCTCTTCACTCTTTAATTGTCTCTTCCTTCCCCTTGCCCAAACTAGAGCCCTTGCTTGTAAAATATAACCACGGGGTGAGATAAACATCTCAATAACAGAATAATTCACTATTATCAATTAACATACACAACTATAAGGGAGTAAAGCTAATGCACATTAAAACATTCATTTAATAGCCAATATGATCTTTTCTATCATCATGATTCAATTCCACTCTGGTATGATCATTCTACCATCTAAGTCTTTATATCACCCGATTGAAACCATAGGCTCTAGTAGACCAAGTGCACATGCACAATGGCCCGAGCTCACGTATAGTGGTAGGGTCACCTAGCCAAAAGTATTTTATCCCACTTTTGGACTATAGTTTTCCCTTATCACACACAAATCAAGGTGTCGTTACTCCAACACCGCATTGCAATGATGTTAAGGAGCATCAATCTCCAACACCGTACCTCATATGGGTACTAAGGAGAAAATCTTCAACACTATACATTATTAAGCACTAAGGAAATATATGCCATATAGACTTTACTATTCCTTTCTATGGGTGAACTCCCACCCCTTATCATGATCTTGCTCATACTTCTCATACATATCATATATTGCATCAAAACCATAATTAACTCATATAATAAACTTTCACAATTATCATTATTTTTAAATCATTTCAAATGCACAACATTCTTCTTTCACAACATGCAATGCTTTCAAAGCACACATAAATAATTTACATATTTACTCACAAACAATTAAGCACTTTAATCAAGTAGTGTAAATTATTCTGTTACCTCAACCCTTTTGTCATAAAAAGGGTTACCGTGGTCTAACGTTAGCTTCACACATTTTACACACATGATAAGACTCGAGCAACACTTAATCTACACAATTAAGTGATAATTGTCAATTATTACTCGAATTAAATCTTAAAATCAATAGATTTTGAGTACTCATTATATCTAAAATCCTCATTAAAACAACATCAACCTTTCCAACACACTCCAACAATCCTATTAAACATCCAAACATACTAGCATCACCAACTATTTACCCACATTATCCTTAAACTTTAAATTTCACATGGGGTTCGTTCAAACCCTACCCAAAAATTTCAAATCTATATAAAACCCATAAACCTAAGGTTAGAGGCTTGATCTAATTCCCTAAGACCTTAACTAAGTCAATGGGTTCAGTCTAAACCCAGAAAAAATCAAAATCAAAACCCCAATTACCCCCAGGAAGTTAGAAATTTGCGCAAAGGGAAAGGAGAAGGAATAGGGAACTTACTCAATGATGATTCAATCTTGTTTTAGCTCTAAATAGCCCTCAAGGTTAACTCTATTAGCCTCAAGAGCCTTCTCTATCACCCTCTCATTTGCTCCCTTTCCTTCCTTTAATTTCGATCTGTTTCATGAGTTTGATAAGAATAGATTTTGCATATACATCATGGCGGCACATAGAGTCCCACACATGTTTTGAACCTTCCTTTCTACCACAGCTCATTCAAACTTTCACTTAGCCCTCTTTTAAGGCTGGTTAATGATTTAAAAACTATATTAGTCTCCCACAAACATCATCAATTTAAAATGTACATAATTTGACCAAATTGCCCTTCTTAAACACCCACAGTTCAAAGATAAAAACTTAGGATGTTACACTAGGGCTTGATCTTAAGAGCTATTTGGAGGCATTTTGGGCAAGATTCATCCTTGGGTAAGCTTCTTATATCTCTCACTCCCCCATTATGCAAAATTTTCAAGTGTTTGGGGTAATGTGGGACTTGATTTCGTGTTCCCTTGGGTTCTAATTGAATCCATTACCTTAGTTAAGGCCTTGGAGAGTTAAATTAAGCTTATAAACCTATACTTATAGATTTTATAGAGATTTGAAATTTTTGGTTAGAGTTTGGACAAACCCTAAGTGAGATTTGGGAGTTGTAGAGCAATATGAATATAGATTTGAGCTTATTTAAGTGGTTGAATACTAATTAAAAATAATAGTATGTTAAGAGAGTTGATAGTGTTATAGTGAGACTTTG